TCCTGCTTCCATTGAAGTTAAATTGGTTTCCTTTGTTCACTTTGTCTATTTCCCCTCAGAATCTTGTATGTAGTGATCGTATCCTCCGTGTCTTCTCTCTAAGGCTCTGGCTGCAAGTTCCCTCATCCTGTCCTTATAGCTGAGCCCTCTCAATTCTGGTACTAATTGAGTTGCAAATCTCTGAACATTCTCAAGTTTTTTTTTATGCTTCATAGGATGTGGTTTCCATGTTGGTGCTTCCTTCCAAGGGAAGGAAGGGGAAAGGAGATGCTAACCATGAATTCCAAATCAGACCCAATCAGTTCTGTACCTGGGACATCTTGTCAGTTCACCAGGAACCCAAACCCAGCAATCTGGGAAAGAACTAGATCCCGGGCCCATTGATATGCGGACCAACTGGAAGCCCAAACTAACCAGTCATCAAGATAGGCAAGAACCTGAGCCCCCCAAAAGATGTATCCAGGTCACAACTACTCACATTAAGCTGGTAAATATCTGAGAGGAGCCATATTCAAGCCAAAGGGCCTGATGCCCCACTAGAAACCCCTTACCAATCCTGCAACCTTGGATGAATAGGAATGTGTCAGTACAGGTCCTTGAGGTCTAGACACACCATCCAGGAATAAAATCGGGCTTCAATACCAGGCAAAGCTGAGCTAAAGTGGTCTTCCAAAAGGTCAAACAGGGACTGAAATTGTTCAAACTGTAGGTCCACTGTCCCACTTGGGGACTGGGAACAACTGGGACACCCACCAAAAGGAGGAGGTTGACTCAACAATGCACAAATACTACTAAGTTGCAATGACTGTGCAGAGCTGTCAGGACAACACTTGACCCAAAAATCCTTACCCTGCCTGGGGGTGGACAGCCTGTCCTCTCGAGTTGCTACAAGTCACAAAATTTATACATGAATTGTCCGAACCTAACCTAACTGATAGACCCACAAATAAAAAACTTTATAACCTGTCGATCTTGTGAGCCACTATGATTTATAGTTCATCATATTTTGATGTACTATACATTACATCAAGATTGACTTCAAAATTTGATATATTATTCAAGAAGACAATTTGGGGTAGACCAACTCCACCAGAGACCCCTGGAAAAGAACCCAATAAGCCCACGTACTGTGGAACCAGGAACTGGTAAAATGGGTTAGATGTCCTCCCACAGACTCGTTAAAGGGGTAACCACAAAAGAGCAGACATGAAGACCAATGAGCAGAGCCACCCTCTCTGCAGTGCATACATATGACTTTGAGCAGAGGAGGAATTGGCAGCAAAACTCAAAGGCCCGGAAATCTGACATCATCAGAGGCCTACGACTGCCAAATAAACTTGCCTAACAATGTAAATAAATCATGGAATCAAGACCGAGTGTGAGATTGTTAGCATTTCCACCCACAAGCTGTGGGGGGAGGTAATGTGGAGTTCCTGGTACCTTCTGGTCTTCTACAACAGTTCTGATGCTGATGTGGACATGTGTGAAGGTCCACTTTATGGTTCCTGATTTGTGGGCTTCTCGGGTTGTTTTGCATGGCCCACAGTGGAGTTAGTCGGTTCCCCCCCCCCCTCCTAGGGGGGACTCAAGCTTTTAAGAGGAGGCGTCTCCCTTGGCTCCATCAGGTCATTGTGGAGTGGGTTGCTTCCAACATGATCAAAATGACCATGTCTTCTTGTTAGATGTCTGGCCTTTTCCCAGTTCTGAAATGGGACGCAGAGGAGCACCATTTCATCATCAATCTATGGAGTTGAACTAGTTCTTCCCCTGCCCCACTTTCTGCATGACCACTCTAGTCCAGGTTTGACTCATGATGGAGGCTGGGTCCTTGATGATTTCTCTGAATCTCTTGGACATTTATTTGCACATCCCTATTCATCCAGGATTCACGGATTAGTTAAGCTTCATTGTGGGGGTGTCAGGTTTACCGATTTCGAGTTAAAGTCCATGCACTGCTAACCTACAATCTCTTCAGCATGATTAAATTTGGTTAAGTTAATTACACTGGTTAATTACAGTAAAAAAGAGGCAAGATGGAGTCATGGATGTGTAATATTCTTTTTCGTTGATAAAATAGGTTAAGGTTAGTCAATAATCTTTCATTATCGCTTTGCCTTGCACGTTATGAATCCACTTAAAGAACCTTTAACCTAGACACTTTTCAAACTTAAGCTATTAAGAAAACTTTTACATTAAGAGTTGGTTTTACTGTAACGGGTATCATAATAGCTCTGTCTGGCTAAGGTTACTCCACATTTTTGCTTCTCAGCAAAAATGCTTATCTTACTTCAAAATTGCCGTTACCTTTCAGAATTTCTTGGTTTGGTTATTTCCACTGGGAGCTTTTTAGGGTTTAATCCTGCTGATGCTGTCGGACACCTCTTAAACTCTATACTGATGCATCCACTGTGCACTGGAGTTTTGTGTGTGATGCTCACCATGTCAAAAAATGGGCACCTGTCACCAGCATTGACCAGGACTTGCATCAACGTTTCAAATTGGTGGTACGATTTGTACTGAAATGCATGTCTTCCAAGAGTAGTTAAATTATGTCAACATTGCCTCACCAATGAGGGGGATCCTCCCAATTTTTTATTGTGGTGTTGGACTGTAACCTTAGCTTTCTTTCTGGATTCTTGGAGTTTTATCCTCGGAGTGGTTTAAATTTATTGGGTATCAATCGGAATGAAATAAGAGTTGGATGAGGCTACTTTTCTTTGCATATGTGCCATGTGCAGATGATGAGTCACAATAATGTGACTGAAGATATGATGACCAAACCCCACACCAGAAGATGAGGAGATGACGTTTCGGTCCGTCCTGGACTATTATCAAGTTGATTGTCGGTCCGTCCTGGACCATTATCAAGTTGATTGTCGGTCCGTCCTGGACCATTATCAAGTCGAAACATGATTGTCTCCTCATCTTCTGGTGTGGGGTTTGGTCATCATATGTACCATGTTCAACCTTCCACAAATGTCTGCATCTGCATGGAACCACCAGCTGTTAGTGTACGTGGCTTGCTTGTACAATTAAAATGCAGTTGTAGTGGATGCCTTGCCTCAGCTAAATCAGTTGGAAAGAATTCATCTCTTTTCTCCAATTTAGATGCTGTCGTTAGTTCAGGGGTGATGTTTATGGGCTGCATGATATTGTTCACTCCCCAATGGCCAGTGCTGCCCTGGTTTCCTTCCCTGCTCTCCAGGCATCCCAGTTGAGTCCATTTTCCAAATTTCCTCTCGCAAAACATCAACAGAAGGTCATATATAAACAAGTTCCTTTGCTGATAATTGAATATGAAGTTCATTTAACCGAAGCTATCATCCGTTGTATCAGAAAGATGTGGAAGTGATCCTCATTCACCAGCTTTGAGCCTTGTTGCTCCATCAGTTTGCTGTGGTCTGGCAAGCTCTACAGTGGTTTGCAACCCTGCATCAGGTCTCTAGTCTGGATGTGACCACTATAATGAATTTGTTCTTTTGGCTCTACATCTGGGAAGCTTATGCCTAGCTAATGTGCTAGCTAATCATCACCTTCTCATTGGATAGTGTGTTGAATTGATTGTGTTCAAATTGGTTGAGTTTACCTGCAGTGTTCACTAATATCATGCTGAACACCATGTTATTACTCTGGCAATGGGGTACTGGGCCTCGGGCTTGCAACCGTATCTTAGGTTTCTAGCTAAAAATGAAGTGCCAAGGTTTTTAAGGAAACTAATTTTTTATTCAGTTTCTATGGATGTTTCAGTGTGATAAGCATCTCTTCCTCAAGCATACGTACTATGTTATTTGCTCTATGGTATGTTCATCTTTGCTTATTTGCAGATGGTATGCTGAGTCACCGCATTCAATGGACACATGATTTGTAGGAGTTTGCTAAGTTAATTTTTTTTTGTGTGTGTGTGTGTGTGTGTGATGTCCTACTTAGTTACAAAAGCTTGGTGATTTTAGAAGTCCAACAGTGCCTTTGCTAATGTTTACCTATCACACTTTTGCTAATGTTTACCTATCACACTTTTGCTAATGTTTACCTATCACACTTTCTGTGCCATGGCTGCCAGTGGTGTGTGGTGCTGGGGAGGCTCCCTTCCTGGGAAGCAGTTGCTTCAGGCAAGAGGTGCATAACCCACTCTGTTTGGGTGAGATTTCATTGGACACTTGAGAACCTGCAGGGAATGTTGAGCCCCGTTTAGCTGCTATAGTAAGCGTTTTCAAATTTACTTATGTTTATAGTTGTATTTTAAATGCTCCTTGGGTAGTCTCATCTCAGTGAGTGACAGAGTGCTTTGGCTGAGAAAATAGGCTTTGACTCTGAAAAACATTTTTATGAGCTTGCCACTCTGTCACCCCTTTTTCCTTCCCTTTGTTCTCAGCTCAGCGGGTTTCAGTTTACCATACTCTAATTAAAAAAGTTCTGGTGCAGAAAGGTTGAAGGAACATTATGGTAGTAGTAATGAATAGGGATAATTAGTACTGTACTGTATTTAGTAAAATGCTACTAGGGAATTTGTTTAATTGATAAATCACTGGGAGAGAAGAGGAATACTATGTGGGTGACTCTACTTGCTGCCTTCTGCTGGGTTGAATGATCTGCAGAGCTCCCTAACACCAGTGTGACCCTGTAGGGGCTTAGTAAAACTGATCCTGCGGCACCAGTGTTGAGTGTCCTCCTGCCCTGGCTGTTCAGGTCGTGTCCTACTGATCCAGTAAGATATTTTTTTAAGAAGTGAGTGTTTCAAGCTCAGAAAGGTTCTTTTCAAAGGCACTCGGTGCCTATTTTTACATTTTTTGTCACTGCTTATGTCAATTCTTATAATTATTCGGTTCTGAATATTTACATTGCATTGAATATTCCAGTGAACCAGATTCTGTTTCAGCAAAATTCCAAATTATAAATATTTTTTACATACTGTATTTATTTGGGTCTGGAAATGGAGTATACCTTAATGTATTTACTAAGAGCATTTGAAGAAGTAATACTTAATTTCTTTTCTGTTGCAGGCAGTTCACACAAGCCTCCCACCTTCACAACAGCAGCCACCCACTACACAGTCACAGTCACAGCAAGCATCACAGTCACAAGTGCAACAACCACTTCAATCATATGGTCATTTTGGGGACCAACCAAATCAACAGCAGCAGACAGGAGAGGCCAGTGAATGTGAAAACCGGTCACCAGGAAGTATTATCAAAGGAGAGGTCAAGCCAACTGGGGCTGTGAGTCCGCACAGTTCATACACTTACTACTATGGAAGTCAACACAACACTGGCACCCAGTCACAGAGGACTGGACCACCATCTCCAGAAAGACCAGAGCATCTTAATCAACAACCCCAAAATGATCATCGATATCAGACACAGCAGGGAAACAACCATTCAGAAGTGCCACAGAGTTCACCTAGTCAACAACAGAGGGGCTCCCCACAGGGACAAAACTCACAGGGACAGCCTCAGCAGCAGTACCACCAGGGACAATATCAGGGACAAATGCATCTGCAAGATCAGTCTCCCACCAAAAATCCTGAAGGAGGATTGCAAGAGGAACAATTCCAAACCAACAAACCTGATGTACAAACATCTGTGTATCAACAACTGGCTCATCAGCCAGCACAGTTTCAGCATGGCCCTCCCCAAGAAGGTTTACCTAAGCTTGTATCTTCCAACGACCCGCATTATCAGCACACTGCACCTCAGCACAATCCACCACAGCAGGGTCCTATCCCGCAAGGACCTCCTCAGCAAATGCCCCCACAAGTGCTGCCTCAGCAAGGTCTACCTGATGGACAGTATCAGCAAGGACCACCACCTCTTCAACAACCACAACAGAACCAGCAGTATCCCCCAGGCCAGTATCCTCCTGGAGGGCAGTACCCATGGGCTCAATATCCTCAACCAACAAGTGGTCCTGGACCATTTCCTTCAGGCCCTACTACCTTTGGAAATGGACCTGGACCTTATCCCAATGGTCCCAGCCCTTTCAATGGACCTGGAGGAACTAGTACTTCTACCCCATATACACCTGTAGGACCAGGAGGTTCCGGTCCTTATCAGAGTGGAACAGGTGGACCAAATCCCTTCACTCCTGGACCAAATGGACCAGGTGGAATAAACCCATACCCTGGTGGTCCAGGGCCAGTTGATGACAGACAGCCAATACTTCAAGATAAGAAAGCAGAACCAGGGTAAGTTCTTATGAAGTCATCTTTTCCTTCTTTTAAACTTCAATCATATTGAAACAACAGATGATAAATATCTTTCTTTTTGAATTTACAATTTATGTCAAGTGCTTTTAGAACTCTTGTGTTTGTTCTTCTTCCTTGCATACTTCAGGAAAATTTTGAGTGGTAATTTTATACCCAATATACCCAATACCCTCTTGTGAATTATCATCCAGAATCCACCATTTATTTCTGGGAACGAGAGGCTCTTATAAGGAAGGAGGACCATAAGAAAATCAAGTTCATGATCTAATAATGTACATGGTGATAACTATGGTCAATTTTGACATGGCAGCCATAGTGCTTACGGGTATTTAGGTACAGTTTATGGAACTTGAGAGCGATTCTTCAAGGCAGCTTTACAAGCTGAGCTGCTCTTCCCAGTACATAATAGGTGGCAGCTCTGGTAATGACAAAATCAAGTTAAAAATCATTGTACCTTCTAGCCACCCTATTTTATTACATTTTTATTTTAAATGAAGAACACAGAAGGGGTTGATAGAAAATACATCAAATTTGGTTCGAAACGGTTATTAATTGCATGGTAGTTCAACTAATTCATTATTTGAATACATTTAAAAACTTTCCTATAAATTCAGTAAATGTTTCAAGTAAAATTTGAACCCTTAAATTGTTTTTAAGAAACAAAGAAACAGGCTCATTAAAAAATCAATTTAATATAAACATTTTCTTACAGCACTTTGTTCCAGAGAATTGTTGGAGCATATCATCTTTATTTTGGTTAATACAAAATATTCTCACTTTTCTTGCAGATGTTAAGATTTGCACATAAATTTGTTGCTTACCTCTCTAGGCATTTGTTTACATAGCATAACCAGTTCACTCTCTTTGATCTTAAAATTAATAATTGAATTAAAACTATAAGTAAAGTATCAGAGTTTTGTATTAAAAAAAATGGATTCAGAAAGCCATTTACCTTCTGTATTGTACAGTAATGTATCATAGTTTTCCAACTTTTATAAAGGGCCTAAAAACGTTAAACAAAAAAATAGAGCATATAGTCTTAAAGGGCTAAGACAAACAAGCTTTTGGGTGGGAAAGATGATGTGTAATGATTAAGATGATGAGCACGAGAGGTAGGTAAAGTGAATATGTACGTGGGGTGGGTGCTGTGTACATGGGGTTGGTGATGTGTACGTGGGGTGGGTGCTGTGTACGTGGGGTGGGTGCTGTGTACGTGGGGTGGGTGCTGTGTACGCGGGGTTGGTGATGTGTACGCGGGGTTGGTGATGTGTACGTGGGGTGGGTGCTGTGTACGTGGGGTGGGTGCTGTGTACGTGGGGTTGGGTACATGGGTTGGGGATGTGTACGTGGGGTGGGTGCTGTGTACGTGGGGTGGGTGCTGTGTACGTGGGGTGGGTGCTGTGTACGTGGGGTGGGTGCTGTGTACGTGGGGTGGGTGCTGTGTACGCGGGGTTGGTGATGTGTACGTGGGGTGGGTGCTGTGTACGTGGGGTGGGTGCTGTGTACGTGTGGGTGCTGTGTACGTGGGGTGGGTGCTGTGTACGTGGGGTGGGTGCTGTGTACGTGGGGTGGGTGCTGTGTACGTGGGGTGGGTGCTGTGTACGTGAGGTGGTGCTGTGTACGTGGGGTGGGTGCTGTGTACGTGGGGTGGGTGATGTGATGTGTACGTGGGGTTGGTGCTGTGTACGTGGGGTGCTGTGTACTGTGTACGTGGGGTGGGTGATGTGTACGTGGGGTGGGTGCTGTGTACGTGGGGTGGGTGCTGTGTACGTGGGGTGGGTGCTGTGTACGTGGGGTGGGTGCTGTGTACGTGGGGTGGGTGCTGTGTACGTGGGGTGGGTGCTGTGTACGTGGGGTTGGTGATGTGTACGTGGGGTGGGTGCTGTGTACGTGGGGTGGGTGCTGTGTACGTGGGGTGGGTGCTGTGTACGTGGGGTTGGTGATGTGTACGTGGGGTGGGTGATGTATATGTCGGGTGGGTACTGTGTACGTGGGGTGGGTGCTGTGTACGTGGGGTGGGTGCTGTGTAAGTTGGGCAGGCTGTGTGTGTATGTGGGGTGCGCTCTTGTGTACTTGGGGTGGGCCCTGCGGAATTGAGAAGGGGGGGATTGGGGAAATGGAGTGGGGGCTGTGGATGCTCTAAATGTAGGGTAGGTGCTCTGGATGTGGAGTGTGAGCTCTGGATGTGGAGTAGGAGCTCTGGATCTAGAAGTTCTGGATGTGGGGTAGGTGCTCTGAAAACAACGAAAAATTAAACAACAGTAAATTTTGTAACAAGAGGATTCCAGTATGAAAGTTTTTGTGAGCATTCATAAAGCTGGAAATATTAAAATTAGTTTAAATTTTATGAAACTACTCAAACCTAAATTATTACAAGAACAAATGAATGTGTTTGGCTGAAATTTTTTAATTTTCTGGACAGTATGATGTGAGTTTCAGTTTAGCATTGCCATAGTAATATAACATAATTGTGTTTATTCGGGGCTTTCTTTTAACCGTCATATGCTGGTTTATCTATTCTTCCATCTTATTCAATTTATTCTTGACTTTGTGCATATAATGTGTGTTACATGAAATTTTCATTTTGACTGTTCACTCATGATCTCCAGAGTGTGATTCCCTGCAACTTTAAACCTTCCACTGCGTGGCACAACCAGGGATGTTCTCGCTTATTATCAATAAGCTGCACAACAGTCAGGGAGGTTTTAAAGTACCATTGTTACCTTGCGATGATTTTGGGACTTAGCATCCCTGCGGTCCGGTCCTCGACCAGGACTCCTCTCGACCAGACCGCATTAGCTTTAAAAATCCATGGGGTTTCATGGGGATAACATCTGCTTCCTCAGCCCCCCCCCCCCCCCTCCTCCTCCCCCTCCAGTAAACAGTTGTTCTCTTGGAAAAAATGATGGGTGCCATTCGTGGGTGTGAGGCACAGCCCAAGGATTAGTAAAGTATTACAGCACTATTCAATTGACAGGAAGGAAAGTTATATAAGTTTTATTTTTAGTTTCTAGGTAGGTATCATTTTTAGACGAATTAGTATTGTAAAGATAAATTACTGTAATACTTATAAATACACTTTGGCATCTTATTCAACTGTGTGGAAATCTGAACAGTAGTCCTATATGTCAGAATAATCGATATTTGAGAGAATAAAGAAACTTTTTATTAGTACAGTATTATGCAAGGAGAAACTTTAAAAAAATGTGAACTTTAAATGTTTAAGTACAGTATATACTCTACACATTATTTACCTGAGGGACACCAACATTGTGACTTCGATGAGGACAGGAATTTGGCGGCTTGTCAAAGGTCCCTCCATTTGTCCTGGTGATCATTTCCAGCTGTGTTTTAAATCCCAGCAGACGTTTACAGCTTTAGCGGGTAAGCGGTTCCATGGGTTTACAACCCTATGGGTGAAAAAGCATCTCCTGTTTTCTGTCCTACATTGTGGTTTGTTGAGCTTGAACCTGTTGCTCCTCGTTCGTGTTAACCTGGTTGATACCTGGTATACCTGTTACATCTGACCTTTTGAAGAAATTGTCCAGATCGACATCCACATCTGGATATACATCCGTAAACGTATATACAGATGCACCTTGCAAATCTGGATTCTGTCATTCTGGGCACGATCTGGATTTTCAGAAATTTGCCTTTTTTTTCTATTGCCTTATTTTCTATATTTTTATGTAAAAGTTTAAATGAATATGACAGGGTTTTTATTTAAATATGCTCAATGGCTTTCCCAAGGCACCGACTGTTTTTCCTAATTTTGCCATTGAAAAAGGTAATCATACCCATATTAAAAGACTTGCTGTTCTGAATCTACTGTTTCCCACACTCTATAGGCAATAAAAATTCATCAAGTGAATTTTTCATTTCAGTGTATCATTTGATGGACAACTACCAGGAGAACCTATCTGTAAATAAATTTCACCACATATAGCTTATTTCCCAAGCCCCCAGCCTCGGAACCTTATTTTTAATGTAGAAGGGCCCCATGCCTGGGTGAACAAAAACCATCCCAATTTAAATGAAAATGAACCATAGAATTTTGATTTAAATATCCCCAGTAGTTTACCCAAGGCTCCAACTGTTTCTTTTAATTTGCTTACATCTATGAAAATCATTAAAAATGTGATAGGAGCCATATTAAGAAAGTTATCATTCATGCCCTAAAATTTCCCATGGACTAAGGGCTAATTTCTCTGAGTGCCATTTTAATTTGGACATCATATGGCGGGCAACATTTTAACCAGTCTGTGAACTCTGTGTACCCCAACATTCTAAGTAACTCTGTACTTCCTGGCTTTGCTGAACCCTAGTTCGTTGAATTAGGTGAGAAAATCATAAGTGAAAAATATAATTACCTAACTTGTAGGGAAATACTTATGGGAGGAAATTTATTTGGTTTTATTTTGATTTCAATTAATTTATATATTATTGTTAATTCTTAAATTATGCAGACTATATATTTTATTGAAATTATAGAACTGTGGACTGTATACTTTAACTCCTCACAAATATATCCCACAAACTTGGTGTGGGGGGTGGGTGTAAAATGTCAATATATTTGGGTAGAGCAAATTAAGTTAATTAAATTGAGAAATTAATGCACAGCTTAGCTGTTCTGCGAAGTAAATGGTCGTAATGGCAGGGAACCGGATGCATATCAATCATGTGGCAATGGTGTGTCTCCATGCAGCCTAACCTCTTGTATACTTCTTAAATATCATAACACGTCGGCCTTCTCATTCCTTGGACCTCAGCCTGTCGACAGGTTACAATGTAAATCCAGTATTGTATTTTACCATAATTAAATCAATAACATTTACAAGATAATTAAAATAGCAATCTTACTAGTGTGAGCTCTAGTCATACCTCATAACGGCACCTAAGCTTAATGATCGATAGGCCTTTCAATTTATAGCTAAAGAACAGAACAGAGGTACTTCCTGTGTTATTGATTGACCATTCCC